TTTCATGAAAACATGAAGAGGGACAGTGAGAAATAGCTGAATTCAAGCGCCAGCACTGGCATTAAAAAGAGAGGGAGGCCGGGCGCTCGTGGCTCACGCCTGTAATCCTAGCTACTCAGGAGGCTGAGATCTGAGAATCACAGTTCAAAGCCAGCCTGGGCAAGAAAGTCTATGAGACTCTTATCTCCAATAAACCACCAGAAAACTGGAAGTGGTGCTGTGGCTCAAGTGGTACAACATTCAGCTGAAGAGCTGAGGGACAGTGCCCAGGCTCAGAGTTCAAGCCCCACAACTGAAATAAATAAATAAATAAATAAAAAAGAGAGAAAGAGAGGGAAGAGGGGAAAGAGAGAAAGGAAGAAACTACATAAGAAAGAAAAGATAAAGAAGAGTGTGGTGGGGGACTAGTTCTCAGGTCATTGAGTAAGATTATAGTAGAGGTATGAATAGCTGAAATAGTCCCAAGGATTGCAGGATCAGTGAAGAGTCTTCAGCAAGAGTCCTCCACCTTGGGTGGCGCTGTTTACAAGAGCCACTGGCAAGAGGGACAGGAAAATGGGCATGGAAAGCCTGGGCTGGACCTAATGGATTGCCAGTAGGGCTAGAAAATTCTGAGGAGGCTACTTTGTAAGATTCAAATGTAGTTAAAAGAAAATTCAGTAGGGTAGGAGATGGACCCAGAGAGGTGGGAGAAGAAACAGTTGAAGACCACAAGGACTAATATATTCTATCTTGGTTAACAGGGAAAGAAAATACATGTTATAAAGGCTTTTGTAAGATTTCAGAAGATTCAATCTTATTGGCATATTGTGGATAATTCAAAAGGCTACGTTGGTCATGTCTGTTCTCAGAGAACATTTCCAGCCCAAGGGCCAAAAGCAAAATGACCCAAAAGCAACCTTAGAAATCAGCTGGTAAGGATAAGAAGCTACTTACATTTGAATCTTTACACGCTATGTCTTGCTGTCTGAGTTAGGCATATCTCTTTAACAGCTACCAAAAATGGGGTAAGAGACTTTCAAAATTAGCCAACTCTTAACCCTTCAAATTTGTTTAATCAGCTGTTTAACCCTTTCATTTTGAGATTAAGGTACCTCACACATAAAATGATACAATTCATAGGAAATAGAATGTGATTTTTCTGTCTTAAATTATTTTAAAATTGGCCGGGTACGGTGGCTTATGTCTGTAATCCTAGCTACTCAGGAGGCTGATATCTGAAGATTGTGGTTCAAAGCCAGCCGGAGCAAGAAAGTCCTTGAGACTCTAATCTCCAATAAACCACTCAGAAAACCAGAAGTGGCTCTGTGGCTCAAGTGGTAGAGTGCTAGCCTTGAGCTGAAGAACTGAGGGACAGCACCCAGGCCCAGAGTTCAAGTCCCACAATAGACAAAAACAAAAATTATTATTATTTTTTCTTTTTTGTCGGTCGTGGGGCTTGAACTCTGGACCTGGGCACTGTCCCTCAGCTCTTCAGCTCGAGGCAAACGCTCTACCACTTGAGCTACAGCGCCACTTCCAGTTTTCTGGTGGTTTATTGGAGATAAGAGTCTCATGGTCTCTCCTGCCCGGGCTGGCTTTGAATCTCGATCCTCAGATCTCAGCCTCCTGAGTAGCTAGGATTACAGGCGTGAGCCACCAGCGCCCGGCAACAAAAATTATTTTAAATCTGGCACATGGTTATTTAAATTCAGATTGACCTCACTTGCCTCTTGTTAAGTGGATAGTTATTGATGTAGATATAGAAATAAGTATAGACTTAAATGCAGACTTATATAGTCACAAGTATATATATATGTATATAAAGATAGATAATGAGGGCTGGGAAGTTGGCTCAGTGGTAGAGTGCTTGCCTCATATGCATGGGGCCCTGGGTTCGATTCCTCAGCACCACGTAAACAAAAAAATCCAGAAATGGCACTGTGGCTCAAGTGGTAGAGTGCTAGCCTTGAGCTGAGGGATAATGCCCAGGCTCAGAGTTCAGCCCCCACGACCGACCAAATAAAAAAAAGAAATAATGATGATAGATAGATAGATAGATAGATAGATAGATAGATAGATAGATGATGTTATGAGTTCTATTGATAGTAAGTTTGCTTGAGACTCTTAGGGTGATATTCATGCTGTGCCAACAACACATTCAATTTCTTCCAAAATATATTAGCTAACAAAGGAGGGAATGATCGTTGGTTTAAAAGGAGCATGGGAAGAAAGGTCAGGCAGAAAATTCATTCTTGAAATGAAAAGGAAATCTGTGTATTTTTCCAAGTGTTCTAAAAGAAAATAAACAGATGAACATGAAATTTCAGAGACAGTGTTTAAAAAGCACTACGCGTATCTAAGAAATTGTCACAATGAAGCCCTGTTATACTATTAATGAATGCTAATGAAAAAATGAAAAAAAAAAGAAAATGAAGTTTCAGAGAAAGCTTAGGTGGGGAAAACGTACTTGCAAAACAAGCAGAGATGAGAGTCAGGATGTTGGGATTAAGGGGAAATTCTTTTGGAGCAATAAGAGGGAAGACAGGGAAGCAGGAGAGCAGGATACTCCTGATAGATAAAAGAAATAAGCTTGGGCTATTATCTAGTGGTAAGAATCAGAGTCATTTTTATCTTTTTTTGACCTATTTTCATTTTCATTGGGCTTCTCTGGAGGCAAAGATCTCTTTTCGAAGCTTTTATTCCCTTTCATCATTTAATGATTTCTTCTGTGTTTCAGAATTTAATTTTTAAAAAGGCTATTTATCAGCTTTGAGAATGTACTGGCTTGAAGGTAAGAAATATGAGCAGTGCTCTGAGCGCTTCAAGGAAAAAGCACTTTACAATCAAAGCCATTGCTGTACTGCTATTATTTTCTCCTTCTCCCCAAAACTTGGCAAGACATTATCCCTGATGCTCAAAGAGATGTCTTTCGGTTTAGTCATTATATTAATAATCTGCGACTCAAAAGGGAAATAGAGATCTAAATTGATCATGAAGCCCAACAATCTCCTCTTTTCCTTAGCTATGGATGTGAGCCAGGAATCAAAAAATAGGAGCATTGTAACTCATTTCATCTTCCATGTAAATCACATCCAGCAATGCACACATTGTAAGGGCATAGAGCCAGGCACTCCTCATTCTGGGCAAACAGCTATCCACAGGCTCAAAGGCAGTAGAAGTGGGAGATGTTGACTCATGAAGAATCCTGGCATCGGTTTTTACACAGTTTTTACCCAGTGGCTTACTAAAATGATTGCTTGTATTAATATCAGGCCAATGAGGGAAAGATCAAGATAAGTTATTTTAAAAGGAAACAAATATTTCTAAGATAAGCACTTGTTATTGTCTACCAAAACAAAATTGAGCTGCATGCTGGTGGCTCACTCCTGCAATATTAGCTACTCGAGCTGAAGCTAGCCTGGGAAGAAAAATCCATAAGACTATCTCTAATTAACACCTAAAAGCCAGAAGAGGGGCTATGGCTCAAGTGGTAGATCTCTGGGCTTGAGAAAAAAAAATGAAAAAAGAAAGAGAGAGAGAGAAAGAAAGTATGAAAGAAAGAGAGAAAGAGAAAGAAAGAAAGAAGAGAAAAGGAAGGAAGGAAGGAAGGAAGGAAGGGAGGGAGGGAGGGAAGGAGGGAGGGAGGGAGGGAGAGAGGGAGGGAGGGAACTCAGGACTTGAGTTTAAACCCAATACTGATGCCCACATATGCACACATAGAAAAAAAACAAAATTGGATAGATCTATAATGTTCCCAGAAAAGAAAATTGTAAGCTGTAGAAATTTTAGTACACGTTTTCCTCTCTTTTCCTCCGTGAAAGGGATTGCTCATAGAGAAATGCCTAATTAACAGGCAGAGGGGAAATAAACTGGAACTATAACCCAAAGCTGACAGCTCATACTATAGGAGTCACCTGTTGGTGAACAAGTTTAAGAGTAAAAAATTTTGAAAGAAGACAACTCCACATTGTGACTGTCCTACATATTCTATAATTTGATTTGTGTATTTATATATTTATCTCTAGAAACATTATTTTTTTCCAGTCCTGGGGCTTACACTCATGGTCTGGGCGCTGTCCCTAAGCCTCTTTGTACTCCAGGCTAGCACTAGAGCCACAGTGCCACTTCCGATGTCTTCTGACTAGTTTATAGGAGATAAGAATCTCACCGACTTTCCTGCAGGCTGGCTTGGAACTACTATCCTCAGATCAACTTCCTGAGTATCTAGGATTACAGGTGGAAGCCACTAGTGCCTGGCTCTATATAAACATTTTGGTTAAACTAACTGCTCCCACCAATAACAAATACAACTCCATGTCACTAATAAGGAATGTGTCCCATGTCTCACCCCATAGCCATCAAAACTCAATGCAGCCTGTCATCTAGCTAAGGACACTGGAGTCTCGGATGGTGTGTGACTCCCACCACCACTGTCAGGGGTTATGTGAATGCAATTAGTTAAGCTAGGATGAGATACTGGAATAGAATAGCCCCTAATTCAATATGACTGGTGGTCTTAAAGAAAAATTAATTTGGATTCAAACACACACACTGACAGAAGATGGTGTGACGATGAAGACTGGCATGAGGAATGTTTGTTCAGAGCAGAGAATGCCAGAGAGAGCCAGGTATCCACCCACTGCCAGGAAGGGCTTGGAACAGAATCTCCCTCCAGCCCTCAGAATAAGCCAACCCTGCCCATACCTTGACCTGGCAGTTACAGCCTCCAGCATTGGGAGACCATGACACTGCCATTGTTGGAGCCATTCTGTGTGTGGTACTCCGCCAAGCAAGCACTGCAAATGAGTCTAGCCACCTGCTTTGCCCTTGTTGTTTGATGTCCTACCAAGGATGTCAGCCTTGACCTCAGTCCCATCATGCACTGTTTTCCTTCATAGCTCGGAGCTCACAAAATTGCTTCCAATTTATTCCAAAGCGTCAACAATTATACGTTGTCAAGGCCTACCACGTTCTTCCATTTAGTGGCATAGCAATTAACTGTGACACTTTCCCCTTACCTTCTGCTGGCTCCCGTGCTAGGGGTGGCACTGTAACCCGGAGGCGGAGGCGGGAACCAGGACTGTCTGGAAAGAGATGACATTAGTTATAAACAGGGTGCTTCAAAGGCTGCTCTGCCCTCGGTTCTGTCAGGCAAAGCTGGAAATAATTTGACCGCCAAAAAGACAATGGAATTACTTTTATAGAAGTCCTTGGAAATATAAATGAGCATTATATCATAAATAAAATAGGAAGTAACTACCCTCTATTTAAGGCTATTCACTCTCCAGAGTAAAATCTTTTTATTATATTTTAATTTCCTTTAGCACTAAGCAATGCGGAAGTTTTCTTTCAAAAGAAAGCTGAAGAAATTAGAAAAGAATAAAAACTGGTCAATCTACAAGTAGGTGTACTCCCTAGTTTTCTACCTGAACTATATCATAATAGAAATAACTATTTTTTTGCCAGTCCTGGGTCCTGGACACTGTCCCTGCCCCTCTTTTGTGTTTTTTGTTGGTTGTGAGGCTTGAACTCAGGGCCTGGGAGCTGACCCTGAGCTCTTTTACTCAAGGCTACTGTTCTACCACTTTGAACCACTACTCCACTTCTGGCTTTTTGAGTGGTTAATTGAAGATAAGAGTTCTTAGGGGCTTTCCTGCCTGGGCTGGCTTTGAACAGTGATCCTCAGATCTCAGCCTCCTAAGTAGCTAGAATTACAGGCGTGAGCCACCTGATGCCTGGCTGAAATAAAAACCTTATGCTCAATCAAAATAGGTTTTTTTTAAGCTTATGACAGAAAACTCTGATGGAAATCATGAAAACATAAGTGACCATCACAACAAAGCTAATCTCAGCTCTAAGCTTAATGAAAAAGAGATCCTTCATGTAAAAGAGACTGTTTGGTGGGTGTCAGTAGGTGGGACTAGGAGAAAAAAAGACAGTGATGGAGGGTGAATATACTGAGAAATATTATAATAAAATCTGCTAAAATCAGGGAGGAAGGTTAAGAAAGAATAATATAGCCAGGGATGAATTTGATCTAAGTATGTTAAATGCAGGTATGTAAATAGCATAAGAAGACTTCTTTGCACAATTAATTCATCTTAATGAATACTAAAAATAAACCAAATTAACAACCTATGGACATCCTTAAAGAGAGAGAGAGAGAGAGAGAGAGAGAGAGAGAGAGAGAGAGAGAGAGAGAGAGGACACCCCATCCATCAAAAACCCTAACCATGACTCCAGCTGTTCACACAAAGAAAACAGGACAATGCTCAAGCACCAAGGCATAAGTGTGCTGACTTGCCAGGTGCACCATGATTCCCAAGTACTGTGTTTTCTCCAACATGAAAAATCTCTCCCCACATCGTGCTCTGTCCTGTGAAGATACTCATACCCCCTGGAGGGGTCTCCTCCTCCAGGCTTAGAGGTAGAAGCATGGAGCTCAACCCAAGCTGCATGTAAGAGGCTGCCCAGGACAAGCTGGAAAAGGTGACAGTCACACAAAGGCACCCAGGGATCCCCAGAGACCACCTCTGGCTCTGCCTTTGGAAGGTGGTCCATCCTACAGCAAAACCCAGGAGGAAGGAATGCATAAGGCTGGGTTTCAGAGCAGTCACAGGTGACCATTCTTTAGGTTAAGACTGTCATTGTAGAAAGAGTCTATAAAACAGGTGCCTGAGACAGACCATCCTTTAACATCTGGGCTTCCCATTCAAACAATTACCTACAGAGAAGTCTGGGGGATGTATACTCAGGTGCTAGCATGCCTATTTAGCAACTGCAAGTCCCTGAGTTCAAAGCCCAGTACTGCGCACATGCACACATGCATGCTCGCACACATACCCCCCCACACATACAAAGTACATAGAGGGCTTAGACTCTAGACCAGTGGTAAAACTTTGACCTTTGGATAAGTGGAGTATTTGAAAAGGACACTGGGGTTTGAAGACAGCAGTATGCAGGAGCTGGAGGAGAGGAAGAGGAGGATGCACCTGTGTGTCAGCTACATGAGTTGGTCTACAGCAGGAGTTGGTATACAGGATGAAAAAGGAGAGTCCTTTGCAGACGTAAGCAAGAGACAGGTCAAGAAGCCCAGCATACCTCTTTTTCTTCACAGGGGTTGCAGCAGTGGTAAAAGCCATGCGATTGGTGGTGTTCACATCCAGCAAGCTCCCAGGTTGCCTATTTAAAGGTAAGAATAACAAATCATCACCACCTCCACCTTATAAAACAAAAAAGCAAAAACACTTTGTCATCTACTCCTGCTCTCTACTCTCCACAAAGAATTTCATTGGAGGACAGAAAAACAACCAAAACTAGTTCTTCCTTCCTTAGCCTATTTTGAAAACTGTCATTTCATAACTAGTTAAAAACTGCAGGAAGTGAATGTAGAAGCTATTTGTCGTGTAATGTTAACGATCTAAAATTCAGGCCAATGAATTCTGGTGTGCTACAACTCTTACTTCTGAAGCGCTTGAATTACATTGTGGCTAACACAATTATACTGTGATTGTTTGCCTTAAAAGTTGTGAGTGTGGGGCTGGGAAGGTGGCTCAGTGGTAGAGTGCTTGCCTTGCATGCCTGAGGCCCTGGGTTCGATTCCTCAGCACCACATAAGCAAAAAGAAAAAAGCCAGAAGTGGTGCTGTGGCTCAAATGGTAGAGCGCTAGCCTTGAGCTGAAGAGCTGAGGGACAGTGCACAGGCCCAGAGTTCAGGCCCCACGACCGGACCTCCCCCCCAAAAAAAAGAGTTGTGAGTGTAAGAAAAATAGATAAATCACACATATTTAAGGGTCCACTTACCATTTCATCTTAGCCAGGTCTGTACCTGGCCATCCATAGCTATGGTCCAGCATGACATAACTGATTTCTATATAAATACACATTAAAACTTGGATTCAAAGCCAAGCGCCAGTGGCTCACACCTGTAATCCTAACTACTCAAAGCTGAGCTCTGAGGATAGTGGTTTGAAGCCAGCCTGAGCTGGAAAGTCCATGAGAGGTTTTATCTCCAATTAACCAAAAAAAGCCAGAAGTAGCCTCAAGCAGTAGAGGTCTAGCCTTGAGCACAAAAGCTCAGGGACAGTGCTCAGGCCAAGAGTTCAAGCTCTGGGACTAGGAAAAAGAAAAGAAAAAAGTATATGAAATCTACCTGATTTAGGTCACTTGTAAATGCCAGGAATGCATGTCAGGGAAAATACTTTTCAACTGATACACTTCGAGCACATTTGTGATATCACAACTCAGTGTGCTCTGGAGGAGAAGCTGTAGATTTAAGAGAAGTTGGGGAGGAATGAATTGTAGAAGAGGAAAAGAGGTGGGTACCAAAGAAGGAGAAGCAAAAACACAGTCTAGAGGTGTTTTTGTTTGTTTGGGTTTTCCTTTGTTGTTGTTGTTGTTGTTGTTGTTTCAAAGGAGACAGAAGGATTGACTTAACTTTTGGTGCATGGTAAAAGCCATAGTCAGGAGACTTGGTTGGTGGAATCCTAGGCGGTAAATATGTAAATCTTGGGAGATGATTTTTTTTTTAATATGTCCTTTCCTACTAACTTGACCTAAGAACAGTAAGTCCTGGATGCTGGGGTAGGGGCAGGGGTCTTTCGTGAATGTGTATAAAGAAAGACACATCAATTTAAAAAGTACGTACGACTTGGCTGTTTCCGGTGGTCTAAACGTGGACAGAGTTCTGGTAAAAGAGAGAAGGGAAAAAACAGTATGAGACACAGTGAAGAATTAATAATGCAATTACTTGTACTTGCCCATGAATTTAGAACTATTACTATGAGAGGCTAGATATTATTTGAGAGAAAGAAAAAAAAGGATTCAAATTTGAATACATTTGGTTAGGTGATTTCATGATTTTTTAAAAAAATCTCTTGTACTAGAATCCCAAGGATATGTTTTTTTTTCTTCAGATGATGTTTAATTTGTTGGGTTCCATCAGAAAATAACATTTGACTTTGCATCTGTCTTATAATCTTGCCACCAGGACACTGCACAGACATATAAAACTGGTAAGAACTATGACCTCAAGCAATGGACCTTCCACATTTTGTGACATGTATTGCAAGTTTTAATATGATGGCATGGAAGGGCATTACAATATGGAAAAAACAGATGAACACACAACTGATTAATCTGACTAAGAATTTGTTAAGGCTTTTGCAAATGTTTTAAAATTACACATGTTTTCACTTGATATTTGTCCTTTCAAACTCTCCGCCAGATGTTCAGTGTATCTGAATAACAAATAACCCTTCACATTTTTAAGCCACACAACATTATGTTCTAGCCACGAGCTGAAGACTTCACTGCAGAAATTTTGTGTTAAGAATATAGAGAGTAAGAACTGACAGAAAGATAGTAAGATTGAGGAACTGTGAGTAAACAACATTTTGAAAATGATTATACATGAGCCTAGTAAAGGTAGCAGACACCGGAATACCTATTGGTTACTCAGTTACCCAAGTTATTGATACATGTGTTAGCAATACCATTTCTGTCTGAGATCCTTTGTGAAGAAATAGTACAAAAATCTTGGTAAGCATGAAGGTTATTCATCTCCTTTTAGACTTCTTTCATGATTGAACAAGTTCACCACATAATACTTCTCTTATAAGCAAACTATTTTTCAGTGTCATATGTCAGGAAATCTTACATTAAAAACTATTTATGAGGCTATTTTGAATAGTCTCAATGTTAAAAGTAGGGTGGCTTTTACCCCAGTGTCTTTTTTGCCTCATTGAGCACCGGAGCCATTCATTGCTCATATATTCTTCATTGTTTACCTAACAATAATGCTTCATATGTCAGTAAAAGACATCAGTGAAGTACTGAAATACTTAAAGAAAAATGTTGTGGCACTGCCAATTCTGTGTTTGCCCAAGTAGTTACCTTCTCCTCCTGAGCACATGGAAAGACAAAGTTATGATTGGAACCACTTGACTAAGTTCTAAACTAAAGAATGTGGGCAAACGTGTTATTTATTTACCACTTCTATCATAAACCCTCCTATATAATATTTCATGTTCTTTATTCCTTTTTCAACATGGCTCTGGTGTCTAAGAGCATAAAATGGCTAGCAGCATGAAAACATGGAGAGTGCTAAGGTCCCTGAGTCACTGCCAACAACTACATGAGATTCTGGGGAGGCAGGCAATAATAACTTGTATCATGTTATACTATATAGATTCAGGAGAGAGAGCTCAAAATAGTTCCTCTACCTTGATGAGCTACTTACTTTGACTAACATACTTAGATAACGGGCCCCAATTGGGACCAGAAGATTTAACCTCTCTTAGATAAGGTTTCTTCACAGAAAGTAGATCTAGAAAGAATGTGTTTGTCTCTCCCTCAAATTAAGAATGTTGTCATTCCATGCAATGATGAGATCTCCGGAAAGTAGCCCTATTCCTTCCTTCTTTCCTTACCTCACACCATCTAGAAAAGTTTCTTATAGTGCTGGGCTATGAGGAATAGCTCTCTGCTACTCTGAAGATTTTTTTTTAAATCTTAGGATATAGCAAAGTAAGTCTCAGTCAGCAAGACTGATATGCGGACCCTATACTAGAGTTCCACTTTCCCTACACTCTTGCCTTCACTACCCACTTTAGGACAGGACTTATATAAACATTCCTGCTACGATGGATCCTAATTTTGTCCCTCTGGGGGGAAAAAGGTCATGTGGAAGAAATATGACTTCATTGCTATAAGCCGAATACTAAAATGTAGTTTCTACATGTCACCCTGAACATGTGTAATGAAAATATTGAATGATAACTCTGACATATTAAATTTCTGGGTCAACTGCAAACATAGTTCTCTTTTTTTCTTTCTTTCTTTCTTTCTTTCTTTCTTTCTTTCTTTCTTTCTTTCTTTCTTTCTTTCTTTCTTTCTTTCTTTCTTTCTTTCTTTCTTCATAGTCCTAGGGCTTGAACTCAGGGCCCAGGCATTTTCCCTGAACTTTTTTGCACTCTACCACTTAAGCCATATTTTAGTACTTAATTGAAGATTAACATCTCCCAGATTTTTCTGCCTGGGCTGGTTTCAAAACCTCATATTTCAGCCTCCTGAGAAGCTAGGATTGCAGGCATGAGCCAGCATCCCAAACATAGCTCCTATTTATGGTACATAACATTATAAACTTCTTACTCTTCCATACATAAAAGAAGATGAATAATTGGCTGTAACATTCCAGAGCTCCCACAGTCTTTACAGATTTTTTTTTACAAGATAGGCAGCAACTAGTACAGAATCTTTGAATCATATACAGGAAAATCATGTTTAAGCTGATCATCAGGCCAAAGACTGTGACCACATCCCTGCCCAAATCGAAGCCTCTGAACCTCTGAGATGTTTAGATTTCAGGAAATGACCATAAATGCCACAAGTAAGATGTCAAGTAATCAGAAATATTAAACCTTAAAAGTTAAGTGCACTTCAGCAACATTCTGACAGTAAACTTAAATGGCATTAATAAGAAAAACACAGCATAAAATAATAGTAATAGCTACATATTTTTTTCTGATGGTTGTTATGAATTTTTTCCTATTCTTCAGAGCACATTTACAATGTAAGGATACTTATTTTTGTTTTACAGATAAAGAAATAGAGGTCTCAGAGAAGTCAAGTGACTTTCTCCTGCCCACATAGGTAGGAAGTAGTCTGTCTTAAAATATTTTCACTTGATCCCAGTGCCATGCATCTGATTTTATCATCTGATTGTCACTGAATATAATATAATAAGGTAACATATCTGCCTTCATTGTGCCTTGCTATCACATTCTTCCATCGAAACTAACATTCTAACATATTTGTTAATGTCCTGTTTCTGAGGGAGGTTAACCTTGTAGAAATTAAGTTTCAGCTGACTTGTTATTTGAAATAAATTGTTTTGAAAGGAGTTGCTCTTGAAGATAGGGCATAATACAATTAGTAATATGGTCAAAAGAAATCAAAGAAATTGCACTTGCAGAATAGAACACTAGGGGGCTCCCTGAGCTAGCTTTTCCAAAATAGTCATTTAACTACCTTGAGTATTTGCACCACATCTTTGTGCTACTACTTAAGTTTCATTTCTCTAGGCATGCGCATGCACGCATGCTCTCTCTCTCGCTCGCTCGCGCTCTCTCTCTCTCTCTCTCTCTCTCTCACACACACACGCACACACACGGAATTCTTCAAGTATAAACAATGTACTTTCCTTATATTCAAAAATAAATGCATTCTTATTAAAATGCACAGGCAGACAGACACACAGCTATATTTCATCATTTTCCTCCTGAGAGAATTTTCTGCCTGGCATTTTGAAATGGCCTGAGTTTTAGAAGTCTTACTTACTCCTGCTAAGAGGATGTCTTTATTGACCCTTGTGTTCTCTTTCTCACATTTATTTTCATAGTTAATTTATTTGAAATGTCTGTATAAACACAACATCATCTCAAGACCCATTTTTTAGTGGAAAAAAAATAAATTTCGGCTTTACTGTGATTCTGAGTCCTGGATGTACCCTAAAATCCTTTCATAGCTTGAAAGCAATAACAAGTACTACCTCTAGTTAACCAAATCAGGATTTGAAGAGTAAGGCACAGTAAGACTATGGCATCAGCAAAGTTTAAAAGTTCTTCAGCATTCTGAGCTACTGTGATGACTGATTTTCAGCTTGACTAGTTTGCCCCGTAGGTCTATTTCACTCCTAAGAACCCAAGGCTAGATCTTGATCTCAACTTTTAGGAACAGTTCTTACAAAAATCTTGGGTCCTCCACATCGCTACTTTTCTTAATCATCATATTGTTTCCTTCTTTAATTAACTGTGAGATAGAAAACCTGCTTAAGCAGGCTGAAGGAACAAAGATATCTTCTCTACTTCCTCTCCAGGCACTGCTGTGCAGATGTAATCCTTCTACAAGCTCAATTTTGACAAGGCTAATAATTAAAAGAAGAGAGACGCCAACTCCGATTCTCTTCAATTAGGGCAATTGACTTGAAAGCCAAGAATAGTGAGAAGCACATATACTTAAATTAATCAGCACTGAGGTAGTGAAAATATCAAGGCTCAAAAATGTTATACATTTCAACACATCTGTCTAAAACCCATTGGTGTCATTTTGGTGTACAAATAGCAGCAACATTTTGTTACAGGGAATGAGATCGATTTTCACCAGCCTTAGATATGCCTAACTCTGGTTAAAGATGTTACCTTTACCTTTTACTTATGTTTACCAAGCATCTCTACCGAAGCTAGGTGAGAAAGGTGATTGGTGGGACTAACGTTCAACTTGATAAAAGTTTCTTGGTCCTCTTTAGCATCGATGAGCCCTTTTCTTTCTACATAGCAAGGAACTAACCACAGATGCAATATAGTGTTCTCATTCTATCAGCTCTATGACTCGGAGGCCAGATAACACCCTGACTGTCTAAAAGGAAAAGCAATGTCTTTATCCTGAAGGGAACCAAAGCTTATCCCACTATTAAAAATCCACAGCCTCTTTAGTTGCACTAAAGCCGATGTTTCTCCACCATCAGCATGGAAGAACACAGCTTCATAGCCACAAAATAATTTGATTCTTCATTTTCAATGGAACTGGCAGGTTCCATGTAGTGCCCTCTCTATCTTTCCTTAAGTTGAGATCACAGTAGTTTTGAGCTCTCTCTACTAATTCTGAACATCTAGGATCTTCAAGATAATCCAAGGTAAAAAAGATAAAAAAAAGATAATCTAAGGTATCTTCAAGATAATCCAATTCGATGAGGCCAGCTTTCCCTTGAGATACAATATAACTGGTTTAAGAAGTTTATTTTAGTAAACAGTTAAAGACCCGATAGCTTTATAAGAAATGGGAGTTGGTATGTTAACACATACTGAACACAGAGTGCATGTGACTTCCCCTTCAGAGTTCAAAGGTACCTCACCTGTCCAAAGTGTCATCAGATCTGTACCGACTAATGGTGATTTGGGGCACATCTTTCTCAGTTATTTTCCTGTAACAAAAATAGTCACAAGTCATTTCCTGACTTAGGAAATTGGAAGTCCTCAATACCACACTTTAATAATGATAATAAAATTATATTTAATAAATAGTCGTGAAGTATTAAATAGTTAACAATAACACAATGTATAAAACCTATCACATTTGGCAAATCAGCAAACTATTTAGGAAGGAAAAGTACGTGTTACCACAGATAGGAAAATTTGGAGTAGCCACATCTTCCATGGTTGTGACTTGAATAGAATAAATTATGCTAGATCCAATTCCCAATGCTACTTAAGGATTCTTCTTGTCGCCAATTATTTTAACTACACTGTTAACATATTCAAATTAAGAACAATGTTTTGGAACACAATCAGCGCAACATGTAAAAAAGTTAATAACTAATATGTATGCTTGTCAGCACTGTAGATTTTTGCATAATAGAAACTCACTCACTGACTTACCATCATGTTTTTTTTGTAGTTTTAGCAGGGCCAGAAGCCCAAATGATGGGTGAAATCCTAAACCACATTAACATTCAGCACCATGGACAGGATTGAAAGAAAATCAGTCACTGGGGGAAGAAAAGAAGGGAAGGGGGAAAGGGGAAGGGGGAAAAAAAGAAGGAAACAGGAAGAGCCAGAAAGCAATAGAAAGAAAAACACGAGCGATGAGAGAGAGGACAGATGTAGAAAGGAGGAAGAAGGATAGAGAGAGGGTGAGGGCAAGGGAGAAGGAGAGGAAAAAGCAGAAGGAGAGAGAGAGAAAAAGAGAGAGGGAGAGGGAGAAGCACAGAGAGGGAGGCAAATGACAGAGAGAAGCTGGAAGAGAAAGGAATAATTATAGAGAAAAAGGGATGAGCAGGAAAGATAAGGAGAGTGAAGATAGAAAAATAAGTTCAACAGTAGGAATCACAGTCACAGAAATGGAAAAGAAAAGAAAAGAAATTTGGATCAAACTGGTCCAATATAAAAACAATTTAATGCCTCATGCCACCTAGGATACAATGAAAAAAGCTTTTTGAGGAATTGTCCCATGATGCTTTGCATTTAAAACCATCATTTGTTGTTGTTTTTTGTTTTGTGTTTTGTTTGTTTTTCAGTCAAGGTCTATTTTTATTATCTTTAAGTAGTTGTACAAAGGAGTTGCCATTTAATAAGGCAGTTTATGAACATAATATATCTTGATCAATGTCATTCCTTTCCACATTCTCACCCATCCCTCCCCTCCCCACCTCTTCCCTCACTCTTCTTAATTTTGTAGGTTATATATTGAATTCTTGTCTGCATTTCCCCCCTCTTCTCTTCATTCATCTACCCTTTCCCTTTGACCCAATCCCACCCCTTTCAAGTACCCACTTCCTGGTATTTTATTTTTCTAAACTTTGATTTTGCTTTTCTATGGAATTACACTATTTGAGATCTTCCTTCAATCTAGTGTTTTTCACTTAATAATCTGCATACACTTGCATACCACTCAACATATTTGCTTATAAGTTCATAGTTTAAATCAAGCTTCCATATATAAGGAAAAACATGCATCCTTTGTTTCTGAGACTGACTTAATTTTTTTCCAGGACTTTCCATCTCTTTACATATGGTACAATATCATTCTTTCTAATGGGTAAGTAAAATTCTATTATGTATGTATACTATATTTTCTTGATTCATTCATCCATTGAAGGGCATCTGGGCTGATTGCATACATTGGCTATGGTGAATAATGCTGCAATATACATGGTTGTGCTGGTGGCTTTACTGTAGCCTGACTTGTAATCTTTTGGGTAAATGCCCAGGAGTGGAATTGCTGGATCATAGGGGAGTTTTGTGTTTAATTTTTTGGGGAACCTCCATACTGTTTTCCAGAGTTGTTAGATAGTCTACCTTCCTACCAACAGTGTATTAGGGTTCCCTTTGGCAGCATTCTTACCAGAATCTCTAATTGCTTGCTTGATTGTGACCATTCTAACTGGGGTGAGATGGAATCTCAAATTTGTTTTGATTTGCATTTCCTTTATGGCCAGAGATATTGATCATTTCTTCATGCACCCATTGACCATTCTTGTTTCTTCTGAGAATATTTGCTTTAGCTCATTAGCCCATTTATTAATTGGGTTGTTGGCTCAAGTTCTCTGTATATTCTGGATATTAGGCCATTGTCTGATATGTAGCTGGCAAAAATCCTCTCCCCTTCTGTAGCCCGTCTTTTTAGTTTGTTGGCTGTGTCCTGTGCCATGCAGAAACTTTTTAGATTGATAAATCCCATTTATCAAGTCTTCCTTTGATTCGTTATGCTTCTGAATCTTTACTCAGAAAGTTTCTACCTGCCAACTGTCCATGTACCCCTACTATTTCCCCTACTCTTTTCCATAATAGTTTCACAAACTATCGTGTGAAGCTGACACATCAAAGCTATAGTATTAAGATTAAACTCTTGATTTATTTTTAAATTTCATGCACATATTCATTTTCATTGCATGAGTTTAGAGATAAGCAATACAAAGTACTCTGCTGATGCTTATAATGAAGTCTAGAATGAAATGTCTGTAGTTTTACCCACACAGAATTATAAAGACAAGCTAGACACACATAGTAAAACCCAGAAAGCAGTTAATGTCATGAAAGAGTTCAGGCAAAATTTAAGATAGTTTTAAGTTAAGAAAGATTACCTTCAAGTGCAAGAACCAGAGGAGCTTTATTATAGATGAGATGCAATTTGGCTTAAGCTTTTGAGAATAAATTGATTGGGACATTTTCAAACAGCAAAAGTATCAGTGAAGGAAGAAAAATGTCCAGGGGAAAGTTACCTAACACAGCTCTACAGTATTAAAGCAGCCCTCAAAGTGGAATGCTGGTGTGTATTGTGTGAGTACAAATATGAACAGGAGGGCATCTAACCCCTTCTACAAACAGAGACCATCACTTTATCTGTCTTTGTCTGGCTTTATCCTTTCTAGCAGGTATCACAACAAGACACACTACACTGTGTTCATCTGTTGTCTTTCTTCTTCTCCCTCCCTTCAACTGTGGGTTGTATGGAAGCAAGGACTTCGTTTTGGCCCTAGTCCTAAACCCAGCCTCTGGCTTCCAGTGAGCATTCCAGCCACTCTTCATGCTGTAGGTCTTAGCTGACAGGGTTAAATAACTGCTCCAAGGATGCACACTGTAATAATATTCCCTAATATACGGACATTGTGGTGCTGTGATCTAAGATGATGATGTATCATTCTAGTCTCTGTTTATGTCAGCCTTTGCATACATTGCCATCTCTGCTGGAAGGAAGTTCCTCTTTCCCTGCTCCAGGCCTATCAGCCCACCCCTGTTCACTTGGGAAACCCTTCTTTATCCTTTAAACAGCAATAGGACCACATCCTTGTTGGGAGGCTCCATTATTCAGACAGAAGTAATCTCTCCTCCCTCTGTTTCCATAGTATTGCCATAGTATTGCCTCTTCCTGGTCAATTTTAGTATTGAAGCTTATGGACCTTTTCCCATGAATGCAAGAGCTTCTTCATGTTGGTTATGGTATAATCAATTGAATAAAATAAGCACAGCAAGCTGGCACTGGTGGCTCATGCTTGTAATCTTAGCTACTTAGGAGTTGAACTCTGAAGATTGTTGTTTGAAGTCACCCCAGGCAGGAAAGTCATGAAACTTTTATCTCAAATGACACCATAGAAAAAGCAGGAAGTGGCACTGTGGCTCAAGTAGTAGGGCACTATCCTTGAGTGAAAGGAGCTTAGGACAGTGCCCAGGCCCAGAGTTTGAACCTCAGGACTGGCAAAAATAAATAAATAAATAACACAGCAGGTCTCATAGTCCTATTACCCTAAAAGAGAATGCATACATACTAAGAATCTGATGTTTAATGTCTACTGTCTCACTTCAAAATAAATGGATGTGTTCTTCAAAGTTCTAGGAAAAGGTAAATAGTACGGAGGGAGCATTTCCATTGCTCAGCTCACCAGCCTGCCTTGAGTTAGATGCATGAAGATGTAGGCGAGTGCACAGGGAGTCTGCAGACTGCAAAACTGAAGCTGGTATCAGGAACACAAGCATGCTACTTTGTGTAGAGGATTTTAAGCAGTTTGAGAAAAGGCCAAAAACTATGAAAAGGTTTAAAACGGTTGAAATTCATAGATAAAAAATGTGAAAACAAACATATTCAAGGTATCTGTTTATCTTTAAAAAATCCATCCTCTCTTGCTTCTCAGTATCAAACTAATACTAGCTACTGGATCAGAATGAAGCTCAATATTAATAATTCTTTAGTTTCTTCTGAGAGGTGTGGTTGATTGTATGCCTATATTCACAGATATGTGTTAATGAGGGTATTCTCTATTTACCTGATCAATCTGAGATTAGTGGCATCTTTGGATCACATGTTGTGTCTGACTTTTCTTACTAATTTGCATGTGTCTGGCTTTTTCACCACTGAGTATAAATCCGCATTTCTTCACAAACCCAAGTGTTTCCAAAACTAAATGTGGTATCACATACAGCAAGTGAACTCTGGAGCTGCTATTTCTGTATTGTAGCTTTCATTTCTCTAAAGTCCAGTAGGACCACCTCAGGGATTCTGTTCCTCCTCTGAGCCATAGTTTCGGGAGCTGAAGGAGCAGTTTTCCCCATAACAACCCCTGATGCTATGCCAGATTCTGCTTTTCATGCCCAGAAAAAATGGTCAGAGACAGCCTATGTCTAGTCCCAAATACATACCAGGCTTGAGTAAGTCTTTCAAAACTCCTTTTGTTGTTATCTCACTAATGATGCAGCTTGTTGAAAATACCTACCTGTCCAAAGCATCATGGGAGTTATGCCGGCTGAGCACCACCCGACCGTAATTTTCATCTCTGAAAAGCAAGAACAAAATTTTATCACATCAGAAGCCACCATAATGTTTGGAAAGCACCCAATAAGAGAGACAGAGGTATGGGGCGCCATTTCTGGCCAGGTGAATTCATTTTTACTTCAGGCCTAAGAACATAGTGATGAACCTATTTTAACCAGTCACCACTTGCAAGCACGGTGAAAAGAAACAAGTCTGTCAAGACAAATGATCATTCATCCTGTGAGGATTTCCTCATGATTCAACAAGGAACACTACTTGTTTTTGTTGTTGCTTTTCTAATGGGAGTAGAGAGCATGAAGCCATCTATTTTTATTAGAGGAGGTCTTTCTTGTGGGAAGGCAAGTACAAAAGCCTCCTATGAATACTATTCAAATTCAATTAAGTCCATTAGGTTTGGATATTTTGATGGATTTAACTGTTTTCCTTGACAAAATGTAGGCAAACAAGTATTGATATTTGTGGTTAAAGAGACTGATTTTCTTAGGCAGGGTAGCCCATTTTTAAATCACGAGAATAAATTATTCTGCCTCCAATGTAAAATAACCATTCATTTTTCAGGAGAGGAAATGGATGACGGATTTTGTGGCTATCCTAAGACACAGGGTAGCAGATGTCATAGATGACGTAAGGATCCAGATCTTTGTATTCCAACCCTTTTTGCTTTTTCTTGTAATCAACCCTGCACTAGATCTTTACACACAAAAGTCACAAAGCTATGTCTGTCTTCCTTTGGACAGTGAACTTGAAAGTACAGGCAGTTTTAGGAAATGTCAAAACATGTAGTGAAGCTTTTGGACCTGAGCCCAAGCCAAGAGTAAATACCTAAACCTTCATGTCAAACCAACCAAACCTGAAACACAACATACTTGCTGGTTTGGCTCTTCTAACATTACTCAACGCTCTGGAACCATGTTTAATAAAGCTATAAAAGCACTGGAGTAGACAATTAAAAAGAAGGATGAACATTGAAACTGAAACAATCCCTAGCAACCTACTTCCTCAAAGGACTCCCAAAGAATGTATTCTAGCTTCCTCAATATCCCTCCAAAAACTCATAAGGATGTAGCAGACACCAGGTGTGTCACACATGAATACAAATCAAAACACACAGCCCAGAATCAGGCAGTGGGGGTTAGAGAACACCAGCCAGTTTCCCCTTCCCTCAGCAGCTGCCTGGCCATCCAAACCAGCTTCCTGTCCTCAGGAGGGAGGCTTAACCAGCATCACACCAACATACCTACCAATTGTGATCTCCTGAGCTGTCGCTACCTCCACCTGTCTGAGGAAATATTTCTGATCTAAAATTTCCTATCCACACACTCAGTATCTTGCAAAAAAATATAAATACCTTTTTAAGTGCTGACAGAAATACTGTTCATTCATGAACCCAGGTGTCCGAGAGTGCTAATTCTAATAGTGGGTGTCTACATGTGATGAGTTTGTACAAACCCTAATAAGTTCTTAAATAAAAGATAGTACCAGAAATTAAGATACATTTTGATATATTTGGACAGTTTATAGAAAGTTTAAAGTAAGTCTCGTAACATAGGAAACCTGGACTTCAAGTCTGTTATCATCTGAGGTTAACAAGAGGTTATTGTTGGGCTACCCTGTATCTTGTAGGATGCTTCCACAGCTTTTTAAGCCTCTACTCATTAAATATCAGGGGCATGTCCCAATTTTGATAAATGACAAATATCTACAAACATTGCCAAATGTCCCCTGGAGGGTAAAGTCATCCCTGATTGCAAAAGAGTGGTACAGAGCAAAGACAATGGCCATGTTCAAATCTCATCTCCATCACGTAATAGCTGTACGCCAATGGACAATTATATCATTTCTCTGAGCCACAGATTTCTCTCCTATAAAATTAAGACATAATACCTACCTTTTTGTATTTGCTGTGAGGTTTAGTGATGATTCATATACCATGTATCTAACATGAGTGTATAGATTTTTATTATGCATATATATGATATGATTTTCATAGATAAGAAAATTTATATATGGTAGATGAATGTTTTATAATATGCAACAAGAAAGCATCTACGATGGACAAATAGCTGTTTTAAATCTATGTTTGAATGTGGCTATCTGTCTACCATCATTGTTTGTAGACATTTAAACAAATACCTTGCAGAAGCAATTTTTGAAACAGGTGAGACTTTACTGCCAGTGATTTCCCATTCCAAGTACAGTCACATTTTCATGTCTAATCTTTGGATGAGACTAAAATAAGTGAGGAATTTAGGGTTTTCACTAGTGCATGGAGAAATTTAAATAAATTATGATTAGATTTGTAAATCTGGAAGCATACTCTTATGGTTTTGTTTCGATTGACAGGATCAACACACACCAGGAATCACCCTGTGGACTAAACAATGCCTGTTGAGAAATTGAAACATTGTGTTTTCTTTTCAGTTTGTCAAGAAAACACAAATAGACTGGGCACTGATGTCTCACATCTGTAATCCTGGCTACTCAGAAGGTTAAGATCAGAGGTTTGTGGTTCAAAAGCAGCCAGGGCAGAAACATCCCTGAAACTCTTTTCTCCACTTAACCAGCAAAAAGCCTGAAGTGGAGCAGTAACTCAAGTGGTAGAGCACTAGCCTTAAGCAGAAATAGCGAAATAAGAGCTTAAGGCTCTAAGTTCAAGTCTCAGTACTGGCACATGCACACACCACAAACATTTGCTCTAGGTAGCAACCATGCTCTCTCTTAGTATTCTCTTGTGTTATATAGGTATTAAGATAGAGATATTTTTGAGTATCTGACAATGCCAATTTATGCATAATAAATCCTACCCAAAATCAGACCAAGAAGTAAGCGGCTTTGGAAGGAAAAGTCTTGGGCGTCTAATTGTCCTTAGTTTTCCAAAAAAAAAATGAATATCCCTTTCTACTCATCCACCCATATTCATCCCCTCCATACTTACTTTTCCTCTTCAGGACGTTTCTTTATCCAGCTGTTATCCTGCAAAAAAGCCCTTCTTTTGTTTGCTTCATGGAAACATCGTTGCTTCTGTGCAGTCCCCTGAGAGGAGTGCTTCATATCTATCAACAGAAACCAGAAAGCCAAGAGATGCAGGACAGCGGGGCTCAGTGGGGATTTATTAACCTGAAAATCTTGTGAGGCACACTGATTGGCTAGCATCATCTCTGCTGGCAAGTCCAGTACTTTTTTAAAGCAGGATGTACCAGCTAGAAAGAACAAACCCTACAACCATCATCAAAGATAAAATAGAAAACTGTTCAGGTGCCAACTGAAACTGTGGGTATAGCTCATAAAGCCCATCTGGCTCTGGGGAATATACAACCACCAGCCTGGACTAACCCAAGCCAGGCTTCAGATAGCTGGCCCTTCTGCTTAATAGGAAATTTGCTTCAGAAACACACACAGGACTGGTTTTATTATACCTAGTAAGTAGTAGTCAATGGATCTAGTTCTTTGACCCCTTGGGAGTCAGAAGCACAGTAGGTCATCCTCAAATAAGGTCATTTTTTTCTGCTTTATTGTTTTGTTGGTTTTTTTTTAAAGAAACTTTACAATTGCATGAAGAAAAACACTTGTACTTTTTCTTGGATTTAATTTAAGCAATGATGATTAAATTTGACTGTTACTTTCGAATACTCTTTTTTTTCTTTTCTTAGATTTTAAAAGATCTTTCTGTATCCTTCACTTTCTCTCTCTTTATTTCCCTCTCCCCCCTCCTTCTGTCTCTCTTACATACATTGAGACAAGGTCTGGCTGTACAGCCCAGGCTAGTCTCAAATTCTTCACCCTAGCCGGGTGCTGGTGGCTCACGCCTGTAATCCTAGCTACTCAGAAGTCTGAGATCTGAGGATCACAGTTCAAAGCCAGCCTGGGCAGGAAAGTCCGTGAGACTCTTATCTCCAATAAACCACTAGAAAACTGGAAGTGGCGCTGTGGCTCAAGCAGTAGAGCACTCACCTTGAGCTGAAGAGCGCAGGGACAGTGCCCAAGACCAAAGTTCAAGCCCCACAACCAACCCCCCCCAAATCTTCATCCTTCTACTTCCTCAGCCTCCCAAGTGCTGGAATTATAGGCATGAACCACTGTACTTAGCAGGTTTTAAAGTGTTTTGAGGAAAGGAAACATTATCCACATTACCATTTCCTGTAGGAGACTTCTTGCTCAAGGGAAAAGTAGCCATACTGCCTTCCGGTAAGGGTCTAAAAGAAAATAGGGGATGACAGAAAGCTCAAAAATGTCATCAAACATCTTAAAGTGACTATTTCACTGCCAAAATACATTTTTCAATGCCAGCATACATTTTTCAATGTCATGACAAAGCCTCATAATATAGTATAACAAATACATTATATAAAGTTCTGTCAAACTGGGTCTGGGAAGGTGGCTCAGTGGTAGAGTGCTTGCCTTGCATGCATGAGGCCCTGGGTTCGATTCCTCAGCATCACATAAGCAAAAAAAAAAAAAAATAGGCCAGAAGTGGTGCTGTGGCTCAAGTGGTAGAGCGCTATGCTTGAGCTGGAGAGCTGAGGAACAGCACCCAGAGTTCAGCCCCCACGACTGACAAAAAAAAAAAAATAAAAAGTTCTGTCAAACAACCTGGGAGTTCAGCTACTCCAGAAAATTTTGTTTATAGACGGAGAAAACAAGGCCTAGCAAAGTTAGTGTCCCCAATATTATATAACAAGCAATTAATACACTTATTTAACCAATTATTGAATTCAATTATTGAATTCAACCAATTATTGGGTGCTTATATTGTTCCTGGTACCAAAGTGCCAGGGGCAGGGGGGGGAGAAGATAAGTTATAAGTGTTGGATTACAGTCCACCTAGAGAAAGAGAAGTTGTATTGGAACTCAGTGCAGTGTGAATAAGGTCAAAGCAGTAACTACGCATGAGGGAAACCCCAGCAATAGATATGGCATTAGAAAGGAAGCTGTCATGTGCATAGAATCACAGTTGTATGGAAACACTGGCAAATGTTGGTAACCACCATATAAGAAAGCTAAATATTCTTTAGCCACAATGCCAGTCTTTAGGTGGTACTGAAGTCTGAACTCCATCTGGAAACCAGCACTTTACAACTTAAGCCATCCTCCTAGCTCTGTGTGTATGTGGTCTGTGTGTGGTGTAATGTACCAGTTCTGGGACTTGAACTCAGGACCTAAGTTCTGTCTCTGAATTTTTTTTTTCTCAACACTAGCACTCATTCACCCAAGCCACAGTTCCATTTTTCATCTTTTTGATGTTTAATTGGAGACAAGAGTCTCACAGGCTTTTCTGCCTGGACTAGCTTCAAACTGCAATCTTCAGCTTTCAGCCTCCTGAGTAGCTAGTATTACAGGCACGAACCACTGGTGCCTAGCTTCTAGTTATTTTCAGATAGAGTTCAATGTTTTTGTCCAGTTTAGTGTGTCTATGCTTCCCAAGGAGTTGGGATTACAGGTATGAGCCACCTTCATCTGGCTCCAACCACTTCTCTTGAAGGTGTTAAGGTGTTAAGATGAGCGACCACCATCCTGGTTTCCCTGAGACTGATTTTGTTCCTCAGAGCTGAATTATGCCTCTTTGTATTCTTACCACTATATCCTTCATAACCCTGTCTAACATATATACACACACATACTAAAACTTAGAACTTTCAGAGTGCCAGTGGCTCATGCCTTTAATCCTAGCTACCCAGGAGGCTGAGATCTGAGGATTGTGGTTCAAAGCCAGCCCTGGCAGGAAAGTCCATGAGACTCTTAGCTCCAATTTAAAAAACAACAACAACAACAACACAGAAAACCGGAAGTGGCACTGTGGCCCAAGTTGTAGAGCGCTAGCCTTCAGCTGAAGAGCAGAGGGACAGTGCCCAGGCCTAAAGTTCAACCAACAAAAAAAAAAAAAACTTAGACCTTATGACTCTGCAAGAATGAATATAATTCATGCTGTATTATGTTCATTGTTCAAATTTGTACTTTTCATCTGATAAAAGGTAATAAAATCAGAATGTTTTTAAGTGGGTCTTACAAGTATTGTGAGCATTAATTTCTATGTCTAGTCTGTCCCAGGACTTGTGAAAGTAGGATTTCCTAGACAAAGAGTATGCATGTCTCCTTTACATTGTTCATTCAACCAGAGAACTAAACATTAGAGGCCTTTCAAACATTAAGCCAGAAGCAAGTTCTTGGTCTAAGCTTACCACATTCAAATCCTGTACCTGAACCACTTAATTTCCCCCCATCAAATGGGACTAAAAAAAAAAACTGTCATCTAATCTGAGCACTGGTCAGCAGGCTGAGGTCTGAGGATTGTGGTTCAAAGCCAGCCCAGGCAGGAAGCCTATCAATTAATCACCTAAAAACCAGAAATAGAGCTGTGGCTCAAGTGGTAGAGTGCTAGCCTTGAACAAAAAAAAAGTTCAGGGACAGCACCAAGGCCCTGAGTTCAAGCTCCACTACTGATAAAAATAAATAAATAGAAATAAAAAGCTATATGAGAATCAAGTGAAGATACACACACACACACACACACACACACACACATCCTGTCTAAAATAATTGCCCATCATACGGTAGGTACTCAGTAATCATGCCTCGATCACCTCAGAAAGCAAAGAGTTAAGGCATATGAGACATAGGGTTTTGTATGGGGAAGGACTGGAACAGACTTGAAGCTGGACAGCTAGATAGGCAAGGTATGTGGGGCAGCCTCTGGAGGGCTTTGGAGGTTGATAAGACTGTGGCAGGAGGAGGAAGAAAGAGCAACCTGAAGACAAACATGTATCTCCAAACCAGTGTGGTGGCACATTTGTATTCCCAGTGCTGAGAGGACGGTTAACGCTGAAGAATCATAAATTAGAGGCCCACCTGGCTTTCCTACTGAATTCAAGGCCAGCCTCGAACACTGTTTTAAAAAAGAAAAGATAGACAATCTGAAGTGTCGCAGAGCAAATCCGTCACTGGGCACTAGTCCTCGAGGTACACTAAAGGTATACGACGAGAGTGTATATTGTTTTTTGTTTTCTTTTTAAATTCTCAAGCCTAATGCTTTTCCTCTATGTTCCAATGGAGAAGCTTATTTAAAAGCTGAAGGAGGTTTTTGAAAGGTATGTGTGACTTTTTCACTGGTAAAATATTATATATCACAAAATGTCTATGTGATCAATGTTTGTCGCAAGTCACTTGTGGAGTCCCCCCTGTGTGTTGCTCACTGCCTCAGGTGCCTTAAGCACATGATCTTATTTAATATCCTTCCAAATGAGGACTATTATCTCTAAATTATAGGAGCTCAGAACTTAATATGCACCAATCACACAGGAAGTGACAGAATCGGGCACCGTAATTAGATCTATATGATTCTAATGGGAGGGTTCTTTTCCGTAAGTGATCTTACACCGAACTCAAAGTGTCATGTGAATGGCCAGTAGCAGCCATGTGGAGAGATGCTCTGGTGGGTCCCAAGATGGGGATAAGGGAAGAGTGGCTGGGAGGAGTCATGAATGTGGTGGTAAGGATGGTGGCGGTAATGGATGGTGGCTCTAGCATCTCCTGACACTCCGCCTGGAGCCTCACCCTCCTGTCCCCACACTGAAGCTATCCTCGGCCTGACACAGTGACCTTGACCGTCTCTTGATATTTCTCCCTACCAGGTATGTGACAGTACTTCACATTCATTCCCAGACTGATAGGGTCCACTGACACAGCTAAATGAGAAAAGACAGAATATTGTATGCTGTTTTCAGAGGGCAATATTTCAATAAGAATGCTGGAGGGTTTTTCCCTCTGAAACAAAAAGATGGCTGATAATGAGGAAAATTACATTTTTATCATAGTTACGTGTTGCCCAAGCATGAGGGTTCCATGTCAGATGGTCCAAGGTGTATGAGGTCTGCTCTTAGCACTGCTCTTCTATTCTCTTGGTGACTCCCTGATGTCCTACACACCTTTCTCAGCTCTGCCTGCCCCTGTTTCTGTATAGACCCATTGGCCACTGCTTCTGCTTCTCTGAGAACTCCTTTGTCACAGTTCTCTGACCATCTCCTAGTGTTGAGTCTGTTTTCTGGTCCCAAAGCCATCCTAAAAGTTCTAAGCTACAACTTCAGAGGTACAAATCTGTGTCTCACCAAATTCTATTTTCACAGACATTTTACAGCAATAGAGTTCTTTCCATCCTGGCCAAAACAGAAGACAGTATTTTTAAATGTATGGTTATCAATTGTGTTGTTATTAAAGATGGATAAACAACTCGTGTGTCAGAGGTTATCCTGTTATAAACCTACTCAGAAAGGGGTATTTTTTGAACTGTTTTGTTAACTAGCAGCTCCTTTGTACAACCTCTTAATGATAATAAAAAGAATTTTTTTAATTTAAAACGCTACTCAGGGGCTGGGACTGTGGCTTAGTGGTAGAGTGCTCACCTAGTATGCATGAAACCCTGGGTTCAATTCCTCAGTACCACATAAACAGAAAATGCTGGAAGTGGAGCTGTGGTTCAAGTGGTAGAATGCTAGCCTTGAACAAAAGAATCTCAGGGGCAGTGCCCAGGCCCTTAGTTCAAGCCCCAGGACTGGCAAAAAAAAAAAAAAAAAAACACCTATTCAACACCCAGGTCAGGTACTTCAGTGGGCTAATCGCCTTCTAGATTCCATCAAAGGTTTAGGGTCTCATGAGAAAGATAAAGCCTTATCTTGGTTCATAAAAGCCATTTCCTGTACCTTTGTCTAAACAATGACAGCAGCAAATGTGGATTGGTTGATTAAATTGTGGCCTCACTATGTAGCTGGGGCTGACCTCAAATGCCCCATCCCCCCCTAAGCCTCTGAGTATGAGGATTACAGGCAAAATTACTGTGTTCTACACATGGACTATTTAGAAAAAGACATGTGTAATTGTTTTAATATTGTCAAATCTTCTTTTACCTGCAATGTGCTGAATGCATATGTTGGAATTTTAATGTGAAGTCATGAAGTCATTAAAAACATGTATTTGTCTTACACACACTATATTCTTCTATTCATACTACTTATGGTACCTTTCAAAAGCAAGGTTTTCTTCTGCATGTGGCCATTTACCCTATCTTCTTCTTCTTGAGGCTTGAAGATGTTCCTATATAAAAGTCACTCTTTTACTGCCTCAGCCCCACTCTTCTTTCCAACAGATTCCATCTTTAGTTTCTTTAGATGCTCCCCCAAACTTTCCATCTCCCTCAGATCCTCAGACTTTATCTGACCCTCATGGTCTTAAGATCATTCATTTCAATCATTGCAGGGAAAGCTTTTGATACAATTCAATATGTCTTCACAATGAAAGCTCTGACTTACCTAGATCATTTTTTTTTTCCGGTCGTGGGGCCTGAACTCTGGGCCTGGGCGCTGTCCCTCAGCTCTTCAGCTCAAGTCTAGCGCTCTACCTCTTGAGCCACAGTGCCACTTTCAGCTTTTTCTGTTTATGTGGGGCTGAGGAATCAAACCCAGGGCCTCATGCATACAAGGCAAGCACTCTACCACTGAGCTACCTTCCCAACCCCTCTGACTTATCTAAGAATAGAAGGATCCTACTTCATCACAATAAAGGCTACAGACAACAACCCATATAGCGTACATTATATCAAGTGGGAAATACTAGACCATTTCCTCGAAAGTCAGAAATGAAACAATATAAAATGAGACACTCTTATTCAATATAGTGCTTGGGGTTTTGTCCAGAGCAATAAGAAGTAAAGGGGAGATAAACAGGAAACGAAGAAGTTGAGCAACTCCATTTTCAGACAACATGGCCTTTATACTTTACAAACCTAAAAGACTCCACTAGAAAACTTACATCTTGTGAAAACTTTAAACAAAGAGGACAGAAAATCAACATACACACTTAGTAGCATTTCTGTATACCAATAATGAGCATGCAGAAAATGAAATCAGGAAAACAATTCTGTTCAGAATAACCTAAAAAAATTAAATACTTAGAAACATACCTAACTAATAAGGTTAAAGGTTTCCAAAAAGGAAAATATAAACTACTGGAGGAAGAAATTGAAGAAGATAATGACAGAAATGAGAATGTCTGGTCTTCAGGCTCTATAAGGCCCAAGAGGTCACTCAGTACATAAGGGAAAGAACATCTATGATTCTCATCAGCAGCCTGTGGTTACCTATGTTTATTGATAATTTTGGATAATCTTCAAATGATGTTATACATACTTAAGTGCCCCATGGCAGAAAAAGGTTCCTCACCTCTGCTTATGGAAAGAATCTGCTTATGGATTAACAGAATTAATATTGAGAATATGGATATACTATACAATCCCCATTAAAAATTCCAATATCACCTATCACAGAAAAAACTCTACCCTAAAATTCAAATATAAGCAGACAGAAAAGAAAAAAAATAGCCAAAGCAAGTCTAAGCAAAATATATATATTGGAGGTATTACAATGCTTGACTTTTCAACAAAGATGCCAAAAATACATGTTGGGGGAGGGGAAGAAGAATGTCTTCAACAACTGTTGTTTGAGAAAACTGAGTATCTGAAACTACATTCTTATCTTTGATTCTGTATAAAAATTAATTCAAAATGGATCAAAGATTTAACTATGAGGCCCAAAACTTTGCAACTACTTGAGGAAAGCATAGAGAAAAACCGAGAAACATAAGCATAGGCCATGCCATTCTAAATTAGACTCCAGTTGCTGAGGTGATAAAAAAACAAAAGATGATAAATTACATCAAATTATAAGGCTTCTTTCTGTACATCAAAGGAAATAGTGAATCAGAATCAGGAGATAGCCTACAGAATGGAAGAAAATATTTTCTAGTTGTTCATCAGATAAAAAAAATATTCAGGACACTAAAAACTTCCAAAATGTAAACTCCAAAAGGAAAAAAATTAATAGACAAATAAATTGGACAATTCTCAAAAGAAGTACAAGTGGCCAATAAATAATAAATCCTTGAAGAAATTTTCAACAACTTCAGCCATAAAGGAAATTCAAATTAAAACAACACTGAGATTTCTATCTCACCCCAGTCAGAAAGTCTATCATCAAGAAAACAAACAACAAACAAGTATGCAGGAGACATAAAAGAGCCCTCCATGCATTGTTGGTGGAAATGTAAATCAATGCAGCCACTAAAGGAATCAGAATGGAGGTTCCTCACACAGCTCAAGTTAGAGCTACCACATAATTCTGCTATACCATGCCTGGATATATATGTGAAGAAATGCAAGTCAGCAAGAAATGGAGATCTCTGGACACCCATGTTTATTACAGCGCTCCTCACAATTGTAAAACTGTCGAATCAGCCACACTGAACAGCAACTGACAAATAAGACCATGAAAATCTGGTACAGAAATATAATAGGGTATAATTCAGCCACAAAGAAGAATAAAATCATGTTGCTTGCTTTTTCAAAAAAGTACATGGAACTAGAAATCTCATGTTAAGCAAAGTTAGTCCAACTTAGAGAAACAAATATTGCACGTTCTTTCACATATGCAGAATCAATCCATCCATAAATGAATAAATAATAGGATCCGAGTATAAAACACAGGGAATTTTGGAAACCAGAAGGAGGAGTCAGAAAGAAAGGAGTGAAGGGAGTGTGATATGAACAAAATACTTCATTCACATTTGTGAAAATAGAATAATGAAATCCATATATAATTGTTTCAAATTGTTTCAAAAAGTGTAATAGAGGGGAAAAATTTGATCAAAGAGCATTATAGGCATCTATGAAATGCCTTTGTATAATTAATATATGCTCATAAAAAATACAATTTTATACACATATACACATGCACACAATTCAGCCATGAAGAAGAATGAAATTGTGACATCTGCAGGAAATAGGATAGGACATGGAATCATCATGTTAAGTGAAGTAAGCTAGATTTAGAAAGACAAATATCATACATATTTTCCCTTATATGTGGAATGTAGCATTCATCAGTAAAAACACTCTCCAGTGATAACTATCAATCACTTAAGCCCTATCATGGACTATATCTACTCCCTGCAAATTCAAGGTCAAGCCTATCTGGAGTCCAGTACCTTGTATTTGGTATACAGAGGCTTTTAAAATTTTTATGCACAACATACCTAATGAGAAAACAGAAGAGAGCAGAGCTATAGAGAGTTTTCTCCAGATCATTAAACTAAAATTAGCAGTCCAAGTAGATATATACCTTGCTTCTTCTGCAACTTTTGTGTACTTTTCTAAAATATGGGTGTATATACCTCCATTTTCAAACCTTTGTTTATATAGTTGACTTACTCCTCCTAAGGCGCTTCATATAAAGAAGACTCACTAACATTTCGGAGAAGGGACACTGGAAACGAGACACAACGAATAAATTATTTAGATTCTTAGAGCTCTTGAGTATATAATTACAATGAGTATTCAGGCCTACTACTTTTCATGTCTAGAAGAAAGCCAGTTGGCATGTAATGGATTGCTATAAAATTCACTCTTCCAATTAATTATCACAATAATAAGATGATTCATATCTTTAAAGAATTTAACAACTGACATAAATGCAAGCCTAATA